GGTCGTCGTCATCGTCGTCGCCGTCAACAGGGTGAAAAGGCATGGTCGTTTTGAAAAAATGTGGGGGGTCACTGCCCATGCTCTGGATGGCGTCTTAGACCATGTAACACTAACAAAAACAACTGAGCAACGGACTTAAGCAGCCGAAGCGACCGAACAGCGAACGACAGAGAAGCAGGACGGAACAGAGACTTACAGCAGCCGCTGAAGACGCACAGATTCCAGACGGACATGAGAAGAAGAACGACGTAAGACCGCAAGAAAGCAGCTAGAAGAAGCACGATGAAGATGAGATGAAGAATGCAGATTGACGACGCAACACTGAAGCAGAAGCTGACGATGCAGATGAAGGATGCAGATAGAAGCATGCAGCTGAAGATGAAGCATGAGATGAAGATGCAGATACGAATGAATTGGAGATGGAAGATGGAAGCTGGAGGTTGATAGATGCTGCGGATGATGAGGATGATGAGGTGAAGCTGATGATGTGCTGATTATGACTGCATGACTGATGCATGCTGCCCAGAACAACGACACCACGAACCACACAGCAGCCACGCATGAAGCAGAAGGACCGCCGCATCTCCCGACTCGCCGAGCTTACATACTCCACCGCACCCGCCCACCCGCCCCCTCCCCCTCCCCCCGTCCCCCCTACCTCCGTCCGCCGCCTCCTCCTCCTCCTCCTCCTCCTCCTCCTTTTCGTCGTCCTCCTCCTCCTCCTCCTCCTCCTCCCGCCGGACCGCGGTTGGCCCGGCCCGGCCGCCCTTCCCGCGTTCCGACGCCTCGCTCTCCCTCATCTTCGGCCTGTCGAAGTACTGCCGCACATCTTTGCTGACCTTCGGGGAGGGAGGTCGGTCGGGCACCGCATCAGTGCGGTCGCCGTTTTTTCGCATGTGGCGAAAATCCCGTGGGCGAGGGGGGGGTCAAGCTGTTCTGCCGCCGTCCCCAACGCGGGGAGGCATGTGTTCCAGCCCCCAGGCAGCCGAGAGCAACGACACGACATGGCGGCAACGCCACACACGTCGGGTCGCATGGGATCGGCGGGAAATCGAATACGCATCGGATCGGCGCTGCCGAAGCCGATGTCGAATCAGATCGATCGGATCGACATGGACCTTGGGGGGGCCTTCAACTCCAGCGCCTTGAACAATCTTGGGCGGATCTGCTTCGCGACACGGGGGAGATGACGGGGAGGAGATGACGGGGAGCCTGGCAGAGCGGGAGGAAGTGGGGCCCGGAACGGTGTGGTGGGGAAGGGGGACAGGGAGCGGGAGCGGGAACATGGTGGTGAGGGAGGAGAGCAGGGTGGCAATTGAGCACGAAAGAGACACGGCGGCGGGGGAAGGGAACGCAAATGGGAACAGGAACAAAGTGGAAAACGCGAAAGTACGGTGGTGGATGGGGAGGAAAACGTAGAGGAACAACAAATGGCAGAAACACGTAACGGTCGGAAGTCCGCGCGGTCCTCCAAAGTATTATAGCTGCACTGTTCTATTCGTCAAGAAGGGATTGCACTCTGCGTTGTCATATGTTTTCTACGCGAGTGACCTCAAAGCGACTGCCTCGCACAAGAAAGTTCGCCGAGAAAGCGCGGGACATTCAAAGTGATCACGCCGAACATGAGAACGGCCGCCACGGACGAGGCTCTGCAGACCGCTGGCAGCAGCGGGAAGAGGAAGAGGAAGGAGAGGAGCGCAGGAAGGGGGGGGAAAGAGAGAACGACGTCGTGCGTGCATGCCCCTATGGCCTAGGCGACCATGTGTACACTTACTTCCACCCAGCGTCGTCAGACACCTTTTCTTTGGTCGGCGGCCGTGAAGGATCCAAACGGCGGTAAACGGTGGCGGGACGCGCCGGAGCACAGCCAGGCACCCCGGGGACGCGGGGAGAGTGGGCCAGAACGGACGCGGGAGGGAGGCACACTCAGATCCTCCTCCTCCTCATCATCATCATCCTCCTCCTCCTCCTCGTCCTTCTCCTCCTGCTTCTTCTCCTCCTCTTCCTCCTCCCTCCCTCCCTCCCTCCCTCTTCCTCCTCCTCCTCCTGTTCCTCCTCCTTCTCCTCCTCCTTCTCATCCTCCTTCTCCTCGTCATCATCTTCGGTCCTCCACCTTCTTCCCCTCCTGTTCTCCCTCCCTCCCTCCCTTTTTGCTCCTCCCGCTCCTCCTCCTCCTCCTCCTCCTCCTCCTCCTCCAGCGTCTTCTCCTCCTCCTCCTCCTCCTCATCCTCCTCGTCGTCGTTGTCCTCCTCCTCTTCCTCCTCCTCCTCACCCTCCTCGTCCTCCTCCTCTCCCTTCTCCTCCTCCTGATTTCGCATTGAAATTGCAATTCCCCCCGGGGCTGGCCGGTCCTGAGGGGTTGAATCAAACTAAGAGCCAAGCGACTCCTGGAACGTTCGCTCCAGGAGTCGCTGGATGGCGGGAGAGATGTGTCACATGTAGGGCGACAGGCAGACGCGAAGGAGGAGAAAGAGCGGAGGGGAGGAACATAAACCATTTGTGGTGAATTGGAAGAAGGTGCGGGATCCAAACATATACACAACCACCAGCACCTCCCTCATCCCCTCCCGCTCCCAGGAAAGAGGAAAGCAATAGGAGGGTAGAGGAGGGAAGAGGAATCGACGTGGTAGTGGTATTGTCTTGGTGCCCGCAGGAGGGGTCGTGGCATAGCGCCGCGACGGCAGGCGAGGCTGGCGGGGGCGGAATAGCCGGCGTGGCAGTGGCCGGTGCTGCAGCCGTAGCTGGCGTGGCCAGGACTCTCTCGCCGGAGGCCGGGTGGCGCAAAGGCCTCCCCAGCCCCCAGGAGGGACGGCCTCCCAGGCGCGACGTTAGTGGGCATTGCTCGGCATTGCTTCGCACCGCTTGGCAGAGCGTGGCAGTGCTTGGCGTTGCTTGGCGTGGCGTGGCAAGGCCGCAAGGAACCCCAGCGAGGCCTCCACAGGGAATCCCCAGAGGGACGGCCCCCAGTCGGCGCCGTGGAACCCTCGCGCCCGCCGAGGCAGGCGAAGGGCCCCCACGGGCGCGACCGGGAGCCACCCAGGGATCCCCACAGGACGAAGGCAAGCTTGATCCCTCCTGTGGCGGTGGCCCTGTCGTCGAGAAGGATTCCCCGCCCCCCCAGCCACTCCTGATCCATAACCCGTTGCCGATGTGGTGGCTGCGCGGCGGTGCCGCGCAGCGGCGCATGGTGGCGAATGTGGGGATGCGAAAGTACGAGCGGCAACCGCATACTGCAACGCTGCTGAGTTTGGCGGTGAGAGCGGCTAAGAGAATGGCGGTTTGCGAGTAGTTTCCCAGGCGGCCAGGGGAAGCGCGGCAGCATGGCCACACTCGCCCAGGCGGAAGGCGAAAAAGCTCCGACTGGTGGGCCGGCCTCGATTGAGGATTCCTACAGGCAGGGGGGGACTGCCAGTCCTACGACGGGGATCCTCGCCTGCACACAGGCGTTGGGTTCCCGAGCGAAGGGCTGATGGCCGCCTCTGGGGGTTCCCTTTGGCGCGGGGGAGTGATCGCGCCTTCTGTGGCGGCGGCCGCGGAAAACGGTGAAGCACGTGCAGTTCCCATCATCACCCTATGAGAGTCCTTTCACATTGACAACGGCGTAGGTTGAAGTTGCGAGGCAATAGCGTGAGACAGAGCACAGAGGATGGGCGAGATGTAGGGATAAAGGTGGCGCCTGCTGGAGGTTCTGATGGCTGCTGGTTGGCGGTGGCGCGGCCGCGGCCACCCAGAGCCTTCGCCAGAGTAGCCTGCGGTGACCCCCCTCAAATCCTGCCCACCCGCTCCGCCGCCACACGGGTAAGTGAGTGGAAGGTGAGGGGAGCGGGGTCTGCTGGTTGAGGTGAACCAGAAGAGCGTGAAGGTCGGATAAGGCCCTCTCAGGACCAGTGGGGAGGAGGCTCCTCGCGGTTGGGTAAGGACCTCTGAGGACCAGTGTGGAGGAGGCGTTTCGTGTTGCTACCTCCGAGGCCCCAGCTCGCAGCTGGTGTTTGACGCCCCAACCAATGAGGCGCACGAGAGAGCTGTATCCACTCCTCCTCCTCCTCCTCCTCCTCCTCCTCCTCCTCCTCCTCCTCCTCCTCCTCCCCCTCCCGTTCGCTTTCTCCTCCCACCCCACTCCCCTCGTCACACTGCCCCCCCTCATCCTCATCTCCCCCATCCTCCTCCTCCCTCTCTCTCCACTCCCCCCCCATCCCCCTCCTCCTCCTCTACTCATCATCATCCCCCTCCTCCTCCTCGTTCCTCCTCCTCCTCCTCTCCTCCTCCTTATTATTTTCCTCCTCCCACCCACTCCCCTCGGCGTCCACACTGCCCCCCCTCATCCTCATCTCCCCCATCCTCCTCCTCCCCCTCTCCTCCACTCCCCCCCCATCCCCCTCCTCCTCCTCTACTCATCATCCTCCTCCTCCTCCTCCTCCTCCTCCTCTTCTTCCTCCTCCTCCTCCTCCTCCTCCTCCTCCTCCTCCTCCTCCTCTGCCTCCCCCTGAATTGGGCATACCAACAAAGTGCCAATACCACTCCTCCCGGACCTCCCCTGGGGCGCCTTCTGACCAGCATTCCGAGCCGGGCCCGGCCGTGGCAACGAGGGCCCCCCCAGGAGGCCAAGAGAGGGCGGCAAGCAAGGGAAGGGCAACGGCCTCAATGCCTGACGTTTCTGACGTTTCTCGCTACACAGCGTCTTGTCTCAATGCCTCTCTCTCCTCCCCGCGTCTGCTTTCGGGCCGCAGCTCGGGCCTCCAGCGGCCGTTCGGGACGAGTGTCGTGCACACCCCCGGAAAGCTCGACGAGGCGCCGCCGCTGGAGGACATGCCGAGGCCGGCAGCCCGCCGAACGCGGACAACACCGCGCGGAAACCTCGAAGACCTCGAAGGCCTTGCAGACCTCGAGCATCCCGAAGCTGGGAGCCCCATGGGGGGACTGACAGAAACCGTCGCGAAAGCCTCGAACCTGCTTCCTCCCCTGGCGCGCGGGGGGAGGGGAGCGGGGAGGGGCCCCGGAGTTCAGCATGGAGAACATGACGTTGTGCTTCTCGTACCACGGGGGCCTGGCTCGGGGCAAGCGGGGAAGCTGTCCGTACCAAGAGGGCCCAGGGTACGGTACGGTACGGCCTGAACCCCGGCTCCGGAGGAGCGGTCCCGAAAAGGGGCGAGAGGCGAGATGGGATAAGGAAACGCGCCTGGGTGAAAGCTTCAGCGCAGCGAGTTTCCTATTCCAAACCCATTATTCCCTTTCGGGAAGTGGTTTAAATCTCACCCCTACCCCCTTAACCCTGGACTTGGACGGGGCGCTTCGCCAGGGGGTAGGGTACGGTACGGCCTGCACCCCGGCTCTGGAGGAGCGGTCCCGAAAAGGGGCAGGCGGCGACAAGGGATAGCGAAAGGTGCCTGAATGAAAGCTTCAACGCCGGACACTTACATCTGGTAGGAGCTGGGGGGGCGTCCGTACCGGAAGGTCCCAGAAGGGGCACGTAGAAATTTGCACAACATCAAGTAGTGTTGTGTTTGTTGTCGGTGTTCCTATACCTCCTGACATGTCCGTATCCCCTCCGTTTCCCACATCCCCGGCATATTCGCGATCGTGCCCCCCCCCTCCCCCAAATCAAAATGCGTTCGTGCCTGCACCTGCCTTAGTCACCCGCGTTTGTGTCTGCTTTCCCTCCTGGCACACGTCCGCCAGCCGCCGCGCGCGCAGGCGGCCAGCGTGCTGGCCCTCCGCTGCTGTTCCCAGCCGTCCTGTGGCGCTGGGCCCACGCTTGGAATCCGCGGCGCCCCGCGTCTCCTCATTCCTCCTCCTCCTCCTCCTTATCCTCATTCTCCCCCTCAACCTCCTCCTCCTCCTCCTCCTCTTTCTCCTCCTCCTCCTCCTCCTCCTCCTCCTCCTCCTCCTCCTCCTCCTCATCATCATCATCATCATCATCATCATCATCATCATCATCATCATCATCATCATCATCATCATCTTCCTCCTCCTCCTCGACCTCAATGAGGCCGTCGCTCAGCCCGTAGATGCTGTGGCAAGAAGTCGGAGTCCATCCTGAGGTCGTTGCTCCGGGCGCCCTTGCGCATAATCTGCGCGTCGAGGAGCATGAGCAGAATCCAGGGAGCATGGTTCAGCAGCCTCGGTAAGTAACGTAGGCGTGCAGCCGTCTGGTGGGCGGCAAAGTCTGGTATCCCTGCGGTGGTGATGACCTGCATGGTGGTGATGTGCTTCTCGGGAGTGTTGGGCCTCGGTAGTGATGCCGCAGCGCGACCTGGCCGCGTGAACCTCCTGCCGATTAGGTCGCGGCCCACGCAGGCGGGCCCTCTCCACGGTGGGCGGTTGAAGGTCAGGGCGGACGTCGGGAGGGCATGGACGCACTTCACTCGTCTTTCTTGTGAATATCGGTTTACCGAGTGGCAATGACGCCCCCGAGGCGCGCTTGACGCGCGCGCGGACCTCGGGGCCCATAGGCGCCGCCAGCTGCAATTATTGCGTCCACGGCCGCCTCTGGCTGGTTGACGACCTGGATTTTCAACCCGAGGCGCTCGACGTCGACGCGCGTGGTCTTCTCCTTTGCTAGCCGCTGCCTATCGGTCCTTGCTCCTGCGCTACAGTCCGCGAGGATGACCTTCGTTTTGTCGGGGCGAGGTTTCAAGCCGTGCCTGTAGGCAGCCTTGTACAGTCTTGCTGCCGACGCAGTGGCGAAGGCTATGGGGGACGTGGCCTCGCCGGTGGAGTTGTAGCGCGTCAGGTCGTCAACGAATGACACGTTTCACTGCGCGCATGTCGCCCGCGGCGTCGGAGCGAACGAAGGGCGAGGGGAACTCTCGACAAGATGTCCTCCGGCTTGCTCGGCGTCGTTGCCAGCGTCTCCTTCGATGGCGTTCAGCAGCACGGCGAAGTGCTTGTTGAAGGCTACATCTAAGCATGACAAGCCAGGCCGCGTGCTCGCGGTGGGCATCTGGCAGTGGGTCGCCGATCGCGCAGCCGTCCAATTTGATAGGTGGCGGCCGGCACTGCGGGCGCAGATGCACTGGTCGCCGGTCTTCGCGCTGTTGCGAGCTGGATTGCTGAGAAGTTCTTTGCAACGATGGCTTGATGATGGCATGGCGAACTGGATCAATTTATTGAGCTCTTCAGGGGCGGCGGGCAATTGCATACTGAAAACTTCGCACAAATGCAGGAAGGCGACGCTGCAGGACCGTCTTCTTCACTGGCGGTCGCCGATGCAGGATAACGAAACATGCGCGGCGAAGTCCGCGGACACCTTCGGGCGGGCCCCGCACTGCGTGGCGAAAGATAGTTCCCGCAGCAAGTCCCCCACCCTGAATGTTGGAAAGCTGCCCTGCACATTGCCGATTGTGTTTCTCAGCACTATCCAACGGTGCTACTTCTGTTTCTCAAGGGGCCCAGCTCCCTTATGAAAGTCCTTTGGCCGCGACGGGCTCGGTGGTCTCGATCTTCGCATTGGCGAGAACGGGGTGCAGCCACCTCGCCATGCCGTGGGGATCGGCCTTGGACATGTCGTCGGTGAGCTGGTCTGGGCCTCCTGATCGTACTCTTTTGGCTGAGACTAGCGTGCTCGTAAGTGGGTTGGAACCGAAAATGTTCTGAGCCTTCGGCGGGGGTCTGTCACTGACGGCGCACGCGTTGTAGTCAAGGGCGACTCCCTCGTCATGTATCTTGGTGGCTGACTCGATCTTCCCGTAGTAGCCGAGGGCGTGGTTCGCGACGTCGGTCCTGTCGGTTAGAGGCTGGCCGTTTCACCGCGTCGCATGATGGGCGGCGGTCTCTTCTTTGGCTGTTCTTTTCCCCCGCGCAGGCGAATAGCTGCCCGGCGTACTTCCATTCCTCCCTTGGGATAGCGTTGCGAGCCGCGTCGCTCATCGATTCGGCTGTCCTCTCAAGAAGTTCATCTCGATCTTGGTCGATCCACTTGTGCAGTAGCACTCGCGTGCTCTTCAGGCAGTCGCCGATGTGGTTGAACAGTGCAGCGATTTGAACGAACGAACAAACCATACGCCAGTAGGCGCGTGGGCAAAAGCATGCGTCTAGCAAGCTCGACGCGGGATCAAGGAAAATGCCGCGAGCAGCCGGATAAAGCACAAGAGGTAGAAGAAGAGGAGGGGGGAGAAGGAGGAAGAAAGGGCCAGGGGAGCACCATGTACGGCGCTGCGTGCGTTTCCTGCCAGGGTTTCCGGGCGGGAAGAAGTATGTTACAGATGGTCGGTTGCCCCTTCAGGGCGTAGAATTGCATGTGCCGCTGCTCTGCACTGAATTGGGTCTTCCAAACATTGCAAGAGCAGTTCATCATCACGGAAACGTGCAGAGAGTAAGTTGTACAAGCATTTAGCCCATTCTTGTTTGGGCCTGCCTCTCCTCCTTGGGTAAGCGTCCGTTGCTGGCTGGAGGCTGCCGGGCTGAAACGTCAGCTGCCAGAATCCGGAGCGCGACCAATCCTCCCAAAACGTACCAATTGTTGATGTAAGAATTGTGCGTTGTAAGGTAGTTGTCCGGTTTGCTCCAAAACGCTGCTGTTTGGTATTCGTGACAAGAAAGATGGAGGTATGTGCAGAATCTTACGCAGACACCACGCTTGAAACCCATCGAGCCGTCGTTTCTCCGCCTTGTTCAACCCAGCTGCATTTACAGAGTACATGATTTTTGATGTCACCAAGGCCTGGAATAGTTCCAGCTTCCGCCGCTTGCAAATAGATGTGTGCTTCCATGCCCTGTCGTATCTTGCGAATTCACTCCACGCTGCGCCAATTATTCGATTGAGTTCTGTGTTAATCTGTCCATTGTTATTCGCCGGCCCAACGGGCCAGGGCGTGCTAAGATCTCCGGTAACTGGTTAACAGTATTAACAGTATTTCTAGTTCGCGCGCGGGGCGGCCCCTGGGGGTCCCCCGGCGAAAAGTACCCCGACCGCCGCCCGACCAAGTCTACTCAGAGATGGTTTTCCTTCTGGGTGCGGCCTCTCAGGCTCCCCAGAGCGCGCTCAGAGTGCCCCAAGAGGCCCCCAAGACTGCCCAAGAGGCCCCCGAGACGCCCAAAGAGCGCTCGAAGACGCCGAAGATGACCCCAAGACGGCCCAAAAGGCCCCCAAGACAGCCCAAGAGGCCTCCAAGACGCCCCAAGAGCCTTCCAAGAGGCCTCCGAAGAGAGCCCCAAGAGGCCAAAATCGTTGATTTTCATTGGTTTTTTCGATGTTTTTTGTGTTCTGGCTTTTTCGGCTTCCGGACGCTCCAAGACGGCCCAAGAGGCCCCCAAGACCGCTCCAAGACGGCCCACGAGGCTCCCAAGACGGCCCCGGAACGGCCCAGGAGGGCCCCCAAGACGGCCCAAGTGCCGCCCAAGACGGACCAAGAGGCCCCAAGACGGGCCCAAGAGGGGCTCAAGAGGGGAACCGAGAACTGAAAAATCGAGCCCTCCGCCCCAGAAGGCGCCCAGGAGGCCCCAAAAAGGCCCCAAGAGGCCCCCAAGAGGCCCCCAAGACGCCCCAAGAGGCGCCCAAGAGGCCCAAAAGAGGCCCCAAGAGGCCCCAAAACGGCCCCCAAGAGGCCCCAAAACTCGGCTAGCCCACAACGGTGCGACAATATGGGCCGGCGGAATGAGCGAAGCGATTAAGAACGTAGCTCCCAAGTGTGTAAGGCTGGCGTTTTCCGTAATGAGCTGTCCTGCTGGCGTTCGCATTTGCCCACCACAAGTTATTCGCATCATCTGGAATTTGTCCCAGTACAATTCCATCCCCACTTGAGCTCCAGCTGCAGCAATATGATCAAGAAGATGCTGGAGGCTGTCTTGGTTTCTACCAATGAGCAACGGCTTGACCTCGTAATAATTCTGGCAAGGCGCGGGCGGCTCTTCCTCTTCCTCCTCCTCCTCCTCATCCTCCTACTGCTCTCTCCTCATATTCCTCCTCCTTTTCCTCCTCCTCTTCCTCCTCGTCCTCGTCGATATCCTCGATCTCCTCCTCCTCTTCCTCATCCGCCTCCTTCTCCTCGTCATCATCATCCTCAGATTCCCTAGATGAGAAGTTGATGGTTACTCGTATTGTGATTTGGTATTTTGTTATTATTAATAACAATACGAATGACTAGTATTAGTACCCGTCGTATTCGTATTAGTACACTCAATACTACCAGTATTTTTCTTCGTATTGTGCTGATTCGTCTTACTGTTGCTATTTCCATCCTCACATTACAATACCTATGTTTATCGTCAAAATGTTGTTATTGTGTGTATTACCGTTATTCACATTCTGAGTATTCGTTGTCGTTTTGTTAGGCATGTGAACATTATTCGTACAGGTATTCTCAATAATACGATCAATCTTACCGAATGTAGCATTACTGCCATTCGCATTCGTATTATTATTGGTCGTCGGCTCCATATGATCATTCTTAGTTATGTTAATATTATTCTTGTTTCTCACATTCGTAATAATACGTTTAAGATTATTATTATGATTATGATTCGTCCTCCTCCCCCTCCTCATCTCTCTTTCGAGTAAGCTGCACAGCGCCGGCACCAGAGGCGTGAGCCTCCTCGTCTTCCCCCTCCTCCTTCTCCTGATCCTCCTCCTCCTCCTCCTCCTTTCCCTCCTCATCCTTCGCGGCCCGCCTTTGCTGTTCCCTGCCATCCAGGCCTCGCTCACAGTGTCGAATCGGACGAAACGACCTAGCTCACGTAGTTGAATATCCCAGCGCCGGAAGCGCCAATGTATCGAGAAAGGCGCCTGGCAGCGGAGCAAAAACCAGCTGCACGTAGCAGATGTCGTATCCCCTGATTTCCTATCCCTTCCTATCGCCGCCCCGATAATGACCAATGACCCATGCGCCACGATGGGCCTGTCGACCGCAGAGAGAGCCCCGATCGCCAGCTCAGCACAACATGATTCGGAAGCTTCCTCATCATGGACGTAGCTGTGTTTCTTGCTGCAGCTGCGGTATCGCCAGCCGCGGTACCGCCAGCTGGGCCAGCTCCATGCGTGAGCCTGCTCAGGCACAAGCCGAGGTGCTTCTCACTCTAAAGGCTCTCCGACCGCCCCTGGCCCTCCCCTGCTATTCCCCCGCCGCCCCTCTGCATCCGTGCCTAATTGGCTCGCAGCAATGGCCCTTGATTTTTTCCAGGCCGCAACTCGGATCCGAGGCGCCTCCGATCAGAAATGCGTTGCGAATGCGGCGGACAGGATCGTCCAACATGCCGTTCCATCGACGGCTGTCTGCGGCAACCGTGGTCCGCGGCTCGCCGGTCCTCGCGAACAACATGCACAACTGTTTGCTCCCACCTCCAGGTGCGGAACTTTGGACAATGTAGTTGATTGCCCTTGTGGGCAACCATGACCTTCTGCAACCCAACCCAAGCCTTGTACTTGATCGCCTGGTGGCTCAAACTGGCCATTCCTCCTTCGGGGATCTTCTGACAAGGGTCAATCCAGACCCGGGTCAGCAGGAAACCAAAAAACTGCAATGCAAGGGAAACAATCGGCCACGCAGGTCTTCGCAAACCCGGGTCAGCCAACATGCGCGGCCGCCTCGCGGCCACGAGCGGCTGACCCCCGTTTGCATTGACCCCCGTCTCTTGAGCCCCGACTCCTCCCTCCCCCTCCTCCTCCGCATGTCCATCTCGGCACACCCATCGCACGCTTCGTGGCCCCCGTGGGAGCGCCACTGGAGGCGCCAAGGCCGCACGCGCCCCCCCCGCCCAAATCGGCACACACCTCATACGATTCATTGCCAAGGGCTCCCAACTTCGCGCTTCGCGCTGCGCGAAGCACGAAGTGCGAATAACATCGCGCTCTCGCGCCGCCTCCCAGGGGAGAAGAGGAGGGTGAAGAGGAGTCGGAGCCGAACCGCGAAGCGCGAATAACTTCGCGCCCTCGAGGGCGCCCTTGATTGCCTGCTCATTATAAAAAACTCCGCTCGGCCCATGTCGGCACACAACCGTCACGCGAACCACGGCGGCGGCTGCGGAGGCGGCGGCCACTGGCGCCGCGCCTGTCGGCCAACGGGGCCTTGCTTGAGCGATGGCTCCTCCCGCGCGCCCGGGGTAGGGATAGAATGCCGACAATCGCAGACGGTGCGGGGAGAGATGAAGTGGAAGGGGAGGAGGAGGATGTGGAGGAGGAGGTGGAGGAGGAGGGCGAGGAGAAGGAGGAAGAGGAGGAGGAGGAGAAGGACGAGGACGAGGAGGACGCGAAAAGCAGGGGGAGTAGGAGGAAAAAGAGGCGGAACCCAAACCAGGGCGGGGGCGGGCCGAGGGCCAGACGAAGGGGAGGAGGAAGAGGAGGAGGAGGAGGAGGAAGGCGAACATCGATAAGAAAAGTGACCAGGTAAAACAAGACAGCGCCGCACCATGCGGTCGACCATTCTCCACACACTCGTCATCGAACTCCGCATCATACCGACCCCTTTTACCTAACAGCGAAGACTGATAGGTTTCTAGTAGGGTCAAAAGAGAGCATCATGACTCCCCAAAGGGGTCTGGGCGGGATCCGGGCGGGTGCCGCGGAAAACCGGTGACTCATTTTTTAGCCAACAGTAACACACTTCGTGGTCTTCGAGCTCCCAAAACTCCATTCCTGGGCATGATTTTGAATGCCCGGAGCCAACTGTAGGCCACTTCGTGGTCTTTCAATTCCCAGAACTCCATTCCTGGGCATGATTTTGAATGCCCGGAGCCAACTTTAGGCCACTTCGTGATCTTCGAGTTCCCAGAACTCCATTCCTGGGCATGATTTGAATGCCTGGAGCCAACTGTAGGCCACTTCGTGGTCTTCGAGTTCCCAGAACTCCATTCCTGGGAATGATTTTGAATGCCCGGAGCCAACTGTATGCCACATCGTGTTCTTCGAGTTCCCAAAACTCCATTCCCGGGCAACATTTGGAATGCTGAGGCAGGCTGAGGCTGAGGCTGAGGCAGGCTGCGGCAGGCTGAGGCTCAGGCCGAGGCTGAAGGCAGGCTGAGGCTGAGGCTGAAGCAGGCTGAGGCTGAGGCTGAGGCTGAGGCTGAGGCTGAGGCAGGCTGATGCTGAGGCAGGCTGAGGCTGAGGCTGAGGCTGATGCAGGCTGAGGCTAAGGCAGGCTGAGGCTGAGGCCGAGGCTGAAGGCAGCTGAGGCTGAGGCTGGCAGGCTGAGGCTGAGGCTGAAGCAGGCTGAGGCTGAGGCTGAGGCAGGCTGAGGCTGAGGCTGAGGCAGGCTGATGCTGAGGCAGGCTGAGGCTGAGGCTGAGGCTGATGCAGGCTGAGGCTGAGGCAGGCTGAGGCTGAGGCCGAGGCTGAAGGCAGACTGAGGCTGAGGCTGAAGCAGGCTGAGGCTGAGGCTGAGGCAGGCTGAGGCTGAGGCTGAGGCAGGCTGAGGCAGGCTGAGGCTGAGGCTGAGGCTGATGCAGGCTGAGGCTGAGGCAGGCTGAGGCTGAGGCCGAGGCTGAAGGCAGACTGAGGCTGAGGCTGAAGCAGGCTGAGGCTGAGGCTGAGGCAGGCTGAGGCTGAGGCAGGCTGAGGCTGAGGCTGAGGCTGATGCAGGCTGAGGCTGAGGCAGGCTGAGGCTGAGGCCGAGGCTGAAGGCAGACTGAGGCTGAGGCTGAAGCAGGCTGAGGCTGAGGCTGAGGCAGGCTGAGGCTGAGGCTGAGGCAGGCTGATGCTGAGGCAGGCTGAGGCTGAGGCTGAGGCTGATGCAGGCTGAGGCTGAGGCAGGCTGAGGCTGAGGCCGAGGCTGAAGGCAGACTGAGGCTGAGGCTGAAGCAGGCTGAGGCTGAGGCTGAGGCAGGCTGAGGCTGAGGCTGAGGCAGGCTGATGCTGAGGCAGGCTGAGGCTGAGGCTGAGGCTGTGACTGCGACTGCCGTTGCCACTGCGACTGTCATCGCGAATGCGACTGCGACTGCGAGAACAGCAGAATTCTGCAACTGGATTCTCACCTGAATCGTAAGGGGAATGCTTCCAGATATGCTCCTACACATCGCTGTTAGGTTGCTTTGCCGGGATAGTGTGTTCCCTCCGTCCTGGTCATATCCTTAGGTCGGGCATGTCCCCGTACAGGCGGATTTTGGACGAAAAAGAAAGCATAGTCAAAACAAACAAACAACTGTCAAAACAGTAATCGAAAAATCGTCCCCAGGCTATGTTTCAACTATTTTTGAAGTTTCCTCCTGTAGGGGGAGAGGCCCGACTTAAGCATACCCTCCGCATTGCCATCGCAATCACGCGTCGCCCCCCCTCCCCCCGCCCGCACTGATGCCATCACATTCCGTTTCGTTATTCGCTGCCATAGTGCTATTCATCGCTATCCTCATCACCATCCACCGTCGCCATCATCAAACATTAGCCTGGCGAAGGGCCCAACCATAAGCAGTTGTGGATGCCGCGTTCTCGGTTCATCGTTCGACGGTTCTCCCTATGGGGCCACGAACCGTGCGAGGGGTGTGCCGAAATGGGCGGGGAACCGCATGCGGACCCTGCCACTGGGGCCCTCGGTGGAAATCCCTATGGGGCCACGAAACGTGTGAGGGGTGTGCCCGAATGGGCGGAGAACCGCATGCGGACACTGCCACTGGGGCCCTCGGAGGAGCTCCCCATGGGGCCACGAAACGTGTGAAGGGTGTGCCGAAATGGGCGAGGAACCGCATGCGGACACTGCCACTGGGGCCCTCGGAGGAGCTCCCTATAGAGCCACGAAGCGTGTGAGAAGTGTGCCGACATGGGCGGGGAACCGCATGCGGACCCTGCCACCGGGGCCTTCGGTGGAAATCCCTTTGGGGCCACGAAACGTGTGAGGGGTGTGCCGAAATGGGCGGGGAACCGCATGCGGACCCTGCCAGTGGGGCCTTCCGTGAAACTCCCTATGCGACCACGAAGCGTGTGAGGGGTGTGCCGAAGTTGGCGGGGAACCGCATGCGGACACTGCCACTGGGGCCCTCGGAGGAGCTCCCTATGGGGCCACGGAACGTGTGAAGGGTGTGCCGAAATGGGCGGAGAACCACATGCGGACCCTGCCACCGGGGCCTTTGGTGGAGCTCCCTGTGGGGCCATGAACCGTGTGAGGGGTGTGCCAAAGTGAGGGGGGTGACGGGAGGAGAGAAGGAGGCGGGGGCAGCGGGAGGAGGATGAGGAACGCGGGGCGTTATCTCTTCAAACCGAGACCCAACACCACAGGATGGTTGGGAAAAGCATCAGCACCACCACCGCCATCACCATCGTCACCATCATCACACCCACCACCATTACTACCACCACCGCCATCATCGTCATCATCATCATCATCATCATCATCATCATCGCCACCAGCATCATCATCATCATCATCATCATCATCATCATCATCATCATCATCATCATCATCATCATCATCATCATTATCGTCATCATCATCATCAACAGCATCATCAGCATCATCATCATCATCATCATCATCATCATCAACACCATCACCACCGCCACGCCATCGCCACCGCCGCCATCATCACCATCACCCCCATCGCCATCACTGTCATCATCATCATCATCATCATCATCATCATCATCAGTATCATCAGCATCACCGTTGTCATCAGTGCCACCATCGCGCAACTATTCCTCATCCTCCCCCCTTCCGCCCCCTCATATCGTCCCCACATCAGTCCTCCTCCGCCCAGGCGGAGAACGCTGGTCCTGTTCTTCATCGCACCATACCCGGTGTTCCCCTTTCCCATTCGGATCGCCAACGCCATCGTTCCGCGCGTCCCCCTTCGCTTTCCCATGCCCTCCTCACCCTCCTCCGCCTCTTCTTCCTCCTCCTCCTCCTCCTCTTCCCCTTCCTCTTCAGTTCAAGCGCCGGCGGGCGCTCCAGAGACACCACCGAATATGGGAATCTAAATGTGGAGCGCATGTGATGAAGACGTTTTGTAGTAATGCTTTGCACGTTGCTGCGCACTCGCTTTGGCCAGCTGGCTTGAGCCCCAACGGCGGCGGAACGCGCGGCAAAAAATGCTGGTTCATGCAAATCATCCCTTCGATTCCCCTTCCGGGCCATTGCTCTGGCTCGGCGTTGGCTGTTTCATAAGGCAAACGCTTCGCTGGCAATAACAAGGAGGCGCAAACTCGTAGCTTCAGTGCGGAATTCATGAGCTCACTCACGCATCACCCGGTTTATGCAGCGCAAGTACGAATAGGTATTCTTCACGACGTTTCTGATAGAAGATCTGCAACAACTACCTCCTGTAAACGACGCGACGACATGTGATTATCGAATGTGCGACTAAACGTACACGCGAACAAACCAACAGTCAGGCGCGCAGCTCGCGTTTATGAATTCGCTCTCGCGTCAATGGCCATGGCGGCCACCCGCGCTTGCGTGAAACAGATGTGCGGCATTTTGCGATGCCTTTGGCGCAGTGTTTGCCTGCCGCAGGCCGCAGGCGGATGTTTATGCCCTTGGCTCGAAGTTTGTCGCCGTCTGTCGCATTGCCTGCGGAGTGCTGCCTGTGGCGTGCTGTACGAAGTCCATTCCTGATATCTGTGTTCCCCGTGGTCTGATTGCCATGGGCGCATGCGGTGCATGCCCCAAGGGGCACCGCGCGGCATTCCCCTCGGCTATCGAAAGCAAGGAGTTGACTTCGTGTCACGGACTGGTTGGTCAGCCCGTCTGCGATGCGAGCGTGTCGCGGGCGTCAAACCAATAGAGCCTGCGGAGCGCTCCGCACGCGAGCTGCTCCCGAATGGGGAAGATGCGAAGCTTGAGAGTTCCTTCGGCAAGTTCACCTGGGTCCGTGGCGGCAAGACAGTCAAAGACACGCGCGCGTCGACCTCAGCGTCCGACGGCGGACCCAGCTCTCCTCGGTCCAATTCATCCGCCAGAAGTCGCGCTGACGTCTCGCAACCATGCCCACTTTGATGCAAACGAATCTAGATGACAAACAACATTTCCACTGCGTTCGCAAGCCCGTTGAACTCGCCGGAAAATGTGGATCGGACCGCTCGTCGCCGTCGTCTGCAGACGTGCTCCAATATGGTGCCACTGCCATCCCGCGACGACGGCGTAGTCTCCACATCACTGCTCAA